CCTGCCTCGAAGGGTGACTCTTGAAGAGAGTTACCCAGGTTGACGGTCCTGACGACTGGAAGAACCCAGAGTTCAGGAGTCACCGACACCGCCGGCGTGGATTGTACAAATAGTTGCAGAGAGCAGAGTCGGGAGAACAGACAAGGTGCAACCAAGCCGACTTCTTGAACAGTAAAGGCGGGTGTCAAGACTGTGACCAGCCGCGATGGACTTGGGTCCCTCGACATCTCTCCTTCTACCTGTGCTGACTTGGAATTGGTCGCAACTGTTTCTATTGCGCTGCTTGTCACCTTGTCTCTCCGCTCCCGAGAAGGCTTACGTGTCGGTCTTTCACAGGTTCCACCAGGATCGGATAAGGACGGATAGTCTTGATAAAGTCCAGGATCGCATGTTTCCGATGATTGCGCTGCGTTTTATGACATGTCTAGAATCACCAACGTTGTGTTTTCCGGATGGTCGGTGTCCCATATCGTCGTTCTTATGGATTCACCGTGTGCTGCAGAGCTTCCACTGCGCGTTGGCGAAGGAGCAAATCCAATACCTGGGAGTCCAGACAAAGGCGGCAGCAACAATTGCAATCCAAAAGAAATCGAAAAGAAGAACGACAAGAAGCCTCGAACCTTGGCCACTTGCAGAGCAAGCCACACCATGGACTCGGCAGCGTCCTGCTGCGAGCTTTGGCCGCCGAAAGAACGGCGTTGGCTAGACCTGGTGAACGAGGAATAAAACGTGCGGGGGGTATATTTCTTGATGTCTTGTGCTCCTTCTATGGCCGTTTCAACTTTCAGTACCTCAACATGTCTCGGTGCGGTGGAGGTGGTTGTGGTGCTTGCATGGTGGATGGTGATGACCAGGGGGATGTTCATGTGAAAAATACTGAAAAATACTACAAGCCTTCAGACTCATAACAAAAACCGCATTTATGATAATCCCTTGACATCCCTTGACCATGCAGACCACGCATTATAGCAATGAAACATGGTCCCTAGGCACACTCACGCCCGGTGCCGTTAAGAAGCAGTCCACCAACATCGTCACGAAGAAGCTGAGCTGCCTTGCAAGCGCGAAGGTGCAGGAAGCACAGGCCATCGGATTCTGAGAGCTGAGTTTCAATGGAAGAGACGAGGCATGGAGCTAGCTAATTGGTTCAGCTGCTTGGGAGTTTGAATCGTTCTCCATCTAGACGAAGAAGACTTACCTGGCTTCGATTCGGGGATGCTGGGTCTAAGGCCACACACATACACTGATCACTGATACGACCAAGGATCAGTGGAAGCCAGAGATGCGACAAACTCGACGAATTCACCTGCAGCTTTCTCTGAAACCAGCATGCAATGCTGTATGGGCACAAGCATGCGGGTGTGCAGCAGCCTCCCCACCAGTGAGAGACGAAGACGTCCACAGCCTTCTGAGTGAAGAGTTCCACATAAGAACCTTGGAGGTGCTTGCAAGGGCTCATCACTAAATCATTTAAGGTACCTTAGAAAGCTACGGGGAGGGGCTGTCCCGCCTTGCGTGTGCTTCGTGGCCGGCTTGATGATCGCAGGGACGATGTCGTACATGGTCGGCCTTTGCATCTGCCTGCATTTTGTCTGCGTTCTCTGTGTCGGGATGTTTGGCGCTGAGGATCTTTGGGCTGACGGCTAACGGGCCCACACCTCGCAAACTCGTTCCACTTGGGCTCTTCCAGCCAATCCTTGTGCGCCGCATGCAGCCTTCGGAGCTGACCCAGCCTGAGCACTAGTGTAGAAGTTGAAACGCGGTAAAAAATCGCCATCACTCCATGGCTGCCGAGCCGCGTAATGCCCGAGAGCTCGGGTGGGCGTCCGCCGTACGGGTAGCGCCTGCATGTCACTACGTGCTGCTCTAGACACAGATGGACATGATCCTCGTGACAAATCAACATGGTGTCTGTGAGCTGGATGCGCTGCGAGAGCAATCGACTAAACTGCCTCACCAGCTCTGGATCAACAGTGTCCAGATTGCGGATGTAATTTTTGCGCGGCCGCAGCGCAAGGGTACCTCAGCTCTCCTTCACAGGGCATGCCTGAACCTGTCCTATGGTGCTCCATCACCTCAGTTCTATCCGACGCCTCTCATCCAGCAACATCTGGGTAGTTGCCAAAATTATGGTCCCTTTTGGGGTACCCTAAATAATAGGTGCCGTATTATAATAAGGACCCAAGAAGGGACCATAATTTTGACAACCACCCATCTATCAAAAGTTCGTCAACGGTGGACCGACGGGAGACGATTGGGGTCAACTTCATGCTGGAAGTCTGGTAGATAGCCTACATGCACGAATCGCAGGTGAATTGCTGTAGCCGACTGGTCTACTACCATACAAGGCAACAGAATCCAAACTACAATGGTGCAGAACTAGAAAACACTCGTTTTCCATACGCGCATGAAATCTCGACGATCATGTGTGCCATGCGAAAATACTACAGAGCCTAGCACTGAAAAGGTAAGCTAGTGTGCTTCCTCTGGCCTTATATGTGCAGTCCCAGGTTCCGTCCGGATTCTCCTTCTTGAAGATGGTCTGCACAGCAGACTCTTTAGGAGGCTCAAGTGCTCAAGACCATGGGCTGGAAGGGTTCGGCTGTACTACTGTACTTGAGGGTTCGAGCCACAACCGCCATGGCCGTTGCAGCCTGAAGGATAGTCCAATGAAACAGCGCACTGCCAGACAGTGCCTTCTCCCACCGCTCGTCGTCAAGGGTATAGAGCTCGTCGGTAGTCCACCTTGATGCGAAACTCAAAATCTCAGAGATTTGCCAAGATCGGGTGTCAGTCATGATCCACATCGACACAGCTGGGGATCCAGGCCCGATATACCTCGAGACACCGTTCGGGGGATCGATCCAGAGGTAGAGCACCTGTTCAGAAGAGCCTCCAAGTTTTCAGGAGGCACAAGAAGATACTGGGTTGCTGCTAAGAAACGTATACTTCGTTACTCTAATAGGGAAACCCTAACTTTATGTTAACTTACCTTTATTACTATCATAACGAAACACTAACTTAGATTGAGTTCCTTAACAGCAACCCGGCATCGGTGACAGAAGCTGCCTCCTCCCCCTCCACGAAGGCGTCTCCCAGAAGGTCAGGATCAGGCACTACCTCTCTCGAACTCCTATGTATGTGGACATGCATACGCATTTTCATATGTGTATGTGTATGAATATATATATATATATGCATACATACATACATACATACATACATACATACATACATACCTGCATACATGCATACATCCATACATCCATCCATCCACCCATCCACCCATCCATCCATACCTACATACCTACATACGCACATACGCAGATACGCAATACGCACATACGTACATGCGTACATATTCCAAAGAATTATATATATATATATATTTATTTATTTATTTATTTATTTATTTTTATATGTATATTTACTTATTTATATATGCACATTCGCTCCCCGCGCCTCAAGCAGCTGAAGAGCTGCCCGCAGCGCCTCCCCTCAGAAGACGCATCTTTCCCCAGGCTCAAAGCCTAAACACCCAAAGCACAGGCCCACAAGCCCCTGCACAGTAAATCCCACAATCGGAACCCTGAGTTCAACTCTCAGAACATCCAGGTCTTGCCGCGTGGCGTTCGGCCTCCTCCAGGCCTAGCAAGACTCTGATTAAGAGACCCTGTGGCTCAGGGCTTTTTCGAGTTCAGGGTTTAGGGTTGTGGGGTTTAGCGTTTAGGGTGTAGGATTTAAGAATTTAAGATTTTCAGGTGTTACGAATTCAATGGCAGGGTTTCTCGCACAGGAGGACAGGATCCATGTCAAGAGTCGTAAGGAGGACCACAGGTTTGAGACTTTAGGATTCCTTGGGCGCCCTTATGTTGTGTAAGCGCGAACTGCATTGGCACTAACCTCACCGTGAGGAGCCGAGAAAGGAGTTGGCACGGAGGAGCCTTATTGCACACTGGCAGCCCACTGGCTTACTCCTGACCGAGCCGTTCAGGTTGGCAAGGGGAAAAGAGGCTGGGGCAGCGCGAAGCTGTACGCAGCGTACTGTTCGACGGCCGGGTCAAAGACCCGGTGCTTTTTCTGTACCGCCCTGTAGACGAAAGCCCCTTTCAATGCACTGTTCCTTGCAAGGTTGCTCAATGGTGCTCTTGAAACATGACCAAAAGAACATCAGATGTGGTGTGTGAGGGGGGCCGTGAGGTCGGTGCTCGCACTGCTTCGTTGCGAATTGGCTGCATGTTGGGGTTTGGTGATAGGTGGGTTTGATACGTTGGATTTTTCGCAGGCACTGTGAGAGACTGCATAGGATGTTAAAGCATCCTGCTTGGCGAGACGAGCGATCTGGGGGATCCCACACGTCCCTGTCCCTGATCGTCCCTCTCTGCCTTGTGCCGCCTGGCTCAATTCCGCTGCACTTGCATCGCAGAGCCAACGGCGCGCGTGGGAAGAAGACCCGCTTCCCATGGCACCCCCGGGTGATCTACGAAGCTGCCCTGGAAAATACAGCCCACATTGACATGACACATCACACTTTAAGTCACACTTGCATGTCTACTTTAATTTGAGGAATCCCACGGCTGGTTGTCCATGCCTTTACTGAAGCATCCTGGCCCTTGAAAAAGAAGCCTGCTGACGGGGAGGCTCTAGAGGCAACCATGCACTCGGCGCCAACAATTCAATCTGGGTGAAAACCCCAACTTTTCCGCCCTCTTCTCGAAGGAGTCAGGCAGCGTTAGACATCAAAGCAGCCTTCAGCTGCCAAAGATCGACTGAGCATCAGAAGTCTAGTGCAGCCTCCCATCTCAAGCACTGAACCGGACCGAAACACCTAGCATAGTCCGCTTTCACCCAATTGCGAATGATGTGAATGACATCCCTGCGCTGTCATCTAGATACGACAATGTCTTGCCTATGACATGACCACTGGAATCCTCCAGGAATCCAAGAGAACTTTACATGACGATCCGGACCCGCAAGCTGCCCCCGGCGTCGGCCGACGCTCAGCGTCTCCGGCGACGGGACCTCGAGCGCGACCTTTCCCTTTTTTGCTCCGGCCTGGCTGAGGCTACGAAAACCGTGCAAGGCTGCATGCTGTTGCACTTTCCTCAAGAAGAGGGCTGTACCCGTCGCCAGATTACAAATAGCTCGACGTCAACTGCTGGCAGGGGGCTGATAGGTCATATTTGCGGAAGTCGCTGCATTCCGCGGCATGTGCGGCAGGTCCTCCGCAAAAGTCCACTGCTGCGACATGCACAACTACAAGTTTATGAAGTCACGGCACCATAAACTACGTGTCCTCGGTGTAGTTGCGGTTCAGCAATAGGGCGCGCGAGCCCGACAGACCCTGAAGGTGCACGTGCACGATCGCGCATGTCAACTCTGGAAACATTCTTCAGCCGATTTCGGTTACGTTCTCGTCAGCAAAGTGGGCCGTACTGCCGAGACGGCCCTTGCAGGTCGGGGCAGCCGAATGCTTCGGTGTACAGGGTATTGTGCTGATCGTTTACGTGCAGGCAGTGCCCGAATAGTAAAATGCAGAATACTAGATTGCATGCAAGCTAAGATACCACAAAAAACCGGCAAACAGCATGTAGGAACTGGAAAAGCATCCATCCTGGGGTCGCGGCGGATCCACCACTTCTCCAGGAGCCGTCGCGATCCCTGCCTTTCCTGCACACATCAGCAGAGCCGACATCTGTTGCTTTAGGGTCCGGAAATTGCTTTTGTTTGAGTGGGCACAGTGTAGGGCCTCTTGAGAGCGAAAATAAAAAGAACAGCCACGATACGGCAATAAGCAATAAGAACATCTGCAGCTGGCTGCCGCCATGCTCGCTTCAAAGTGCCTCGTCTTCTGCTCGCGGGCCCGCCTGGCCGGACAGGAACCGGCTGTTGCTGATAGGAACAGCCAACAGAACACAGAAGACAGCTACTGCCATCAGGTCGGGGAAAGCAACTGAGATCCTCAAACATAGCGTAGTCACTGCAAAGCGGACGCTAGGGTCATCTCATGTCGGCGCGGTGCCGTATCTTGGCGGGCCGACCGGCACCAAAATTTCAACACTGCCTTCGGGCTGTTCGTGAGGAGATGGACCGCGAGCCAATGGACCGGGCACCCGAGACCTCGCAGAGAGGGGCAGATGTGGAGCTCAGGAGCTGCTTGTCGAAGAGACAGCGACGGAGTTCCCCTTAGACCCTGACAGAGCGTCCGCGACTAGCGTCCGCCTCAGCACAACAGCCCCTCCTTCGTTTCTCAGCCACCGACTCACAACATCTCAACCTATGCAACGATGGCAGCACGCGAAGGCTCGCACCTTGGAGAAAATGGGCGGCGCCGCATCGGACAGGCCGGGCACCTTGGTCAAGAATGCCTTACCTAAGGAACTTCGTCTACTAACGAGACCCACTTTGATTGGACGCACTCCGACATGAAGCCTCTCGATTCCGCTTAGAGTTGCCTTGACACATGACTGCGTCAGAGACCCTTAGGCCATTTGGGCGGGCTGATGCCGACAGGCCGCCAGGGCTCCGAGAATGTTGTCTGCCTTCCGTTTCAAGACGGGACACTCAAGGGTTTTGTTCGGGCCCTACGCCCTACACCAAAGCCAAAGCCCTACAGACGCCCCATGAAAGGCAGGAACGAAACTCCACACCAGAGCCGGGCCTCCTCCTCGAGTTTCCGCCGCCGTGCCTCGTCCTCGCGATTCTCCGCCTCGATGTTGCAGGCTTAGGGTTTAGGGTTTAGGGTTTAGGGTTGAGGGTTTAGGGTTTAGGGGGCTTCGGTTGCGTTTAGGATTTTGGGGTTTGGGGTTTAGGCACCCACTTGTCATGCGCTTGCAGCCTGCAGTCCCGCTGCAACCACCCGAACTATTCCCAATTAGGGTTCAGGGCTCACCTCCTAAACTTTTGTCAAGGTTTCTGAGGCTCTGTGTCGCCCTCAACTCTTTATCCTGCTGGCACGCATCCATGCAAAATCGTTTATCGAAGGATTCGGCTAAGCTTAGAAAAACCCCCAACAAGCCCTAGAAACAAGTATGATGAAGCCTCAAACCCTCAAGCCCGATCTAAACTGCGAAACCCGCGACCCACACCTCTCTGCCCCTTCCTGCTTGGATCCTAGACCCTGAAACCCTGAACCCGAAAGCAAATCTAAGGGACCCCCAAGTATGAAACCCTCTAAGTAATAGGATCCGAATTCTAACAAGCAGCCCTACACAAAGGTACCCTAAGTCTACGAGCCGCCCTCCCTAAACCCTAAGCCGATCCTAAACCGTAAACCCTGAACCGTGAACCCTAAACGTCAAAACCTAAACCCTAAACCTCAAACCCTAAACCCGAAACTCTAAACCTCGAACAATAAGAACGAAACCCTGAACCTCGAACCAAAAACCCTTTCCCCTAAACCGAAACCCCAAACCCTAAACCTCGAACAATAAGAACGGAACCCTAAACCTCAAACCAAAAACCCTTA